TGGATATTTCAGATGTTGAAATAAATGTATGCTGAAGTCTCAATTTATCTCCTCTCAGATAAATAAATTCTGACTGATACAAATTTCTTTAGAAAATATAAGCTTCAATGCACTGATTAATTTGTTTTGTGAATTCCAATATAATGTCCTAACCAGTGCATGTGAGAAAATAAGTTTTTCTTTATTTTAAGGATCATAAATCCCTTTAAAAATGTGATAAAAGAGAACCCTTTCCACAGAGGGAAAATATACTCTGCCAGTTAAGATGTAACTTGACAATGAAGAAAAGAAAACCAGACTAGCTACTTGAGCAAAGCAGGAGATTTTTTTTCCCCCAGAGTTAAGCAATATAGGACTGGTTATAGCAGTTCCACAATACAAGCAGACCTGTGGTCTTGCACTTTTCTGCTCAGTCATCTTACACAAGACATATGCTCCACTTCCAACATGAATCTGTATTTCAGATAGGGAAAAAGGAAAGTATAGAGGGCAAAAGCTTTCTTCACTTGAGTCCATTCCTCTTATACAGTAACTTCTGCCTACATTCTTCTGGCCAGAATGTGTCACATGGGTAGTCCTAGCTGCAAGAGAGGCTGAGAAATGTCAATTTCTAGTGGTGCATTGCTTCCCTCAAACAAAATGCAACAGTGTCTACCACATGTTCATACTCAAAACATTAAATTCCTTTAGAAAGATTTCAAGTTAAGAATAATTGATTTAAAGGCAATGCACGTGTAGGGCAATAAGTGATATTTTATTTATTAAAACTGTTATTTCAAATCCCAAGATATCATGACCAGGCCCTCTGATGCATATTCAACTTTCTAACATGTTCCTTCATTTTTTTTCAGAGACCAAAACACTAAGGCAAGACCCTACCATCTAATGACTTCAGTAGTCTCTTGTTGAAAATGCTCATCTCTTCACTGTCTATCTGATGACTTCTTATTTATTTGAAAATAAAGTCCACTAAAGGTTTACAAGCCTTTGCATGATCTGGCTTCCACTTCCCTTCTGTAACCTTCATATTAAAATTAGTCTCTCTGACATATCATAAACTTTGTACTTTCCCTTGACAGTCTATTAGCTTTGTAATTAAACAGCTATTTATTTGTAAAATTATCTGTTTTATATTTGCCTCCAGCAGAATCATATGAAAGAATCACTTATGAAAATGAGGATTGTGTCATCTTATTCAATCTTTATGTCTAGAGCTTAGCACAGCAACTAGCACATAGTAGGCTTTCTCTCTCTCTGTGTACATATACATATATACACACACACGTGTGTGTGTGTGAAAAAGAGAGACAGAGATAAAGAGTGTCTTCTTAACATTGAACATAAATAACAGTAGTTATAGTTATTTATATATACTGAATACAAGTCCTGTGCCTGATATATGTGTTGCCTGATATATATGTGTATATACATAGAGACAGAAAAAGGGAGAGAGAGACAGACAGAGAGAGAGAGAGAGAGAGAGGGAGAGAGAGAGAGAGAAGAGAGAGAAATAAATGCAAATACTAGCTATGTTTAACCAGACACTTTCAATTTTAAAAATTGAAAGTGTCTGGTTAAACATAGCTTATACTGAAAAATCCATGACTAATAGAGGGCAAATTCTGCCATGTAAACAGAGGAATAGTTAGTAACCATTAATTATTCCCACAATTTTATGGAGGTGTGGTTTCCTTAGAGAACATTATCAATCATTGCTACCGTTACAGACCTTATACTTCAGTATCTCAAAAAAAGAACACTCCCTAATACTTACCATTTAACATTAACATTCTAGCTAGTCCATCTCTCTTTATCAATGAGAGCTAGCACTGACACAAACAGCTGGAAGGAAGAGTTATTTTTAAATGAAACATGACTTTTATTCATGTGTGTAATATTTTTAAAAGGGGACAAGGAAGAAAAGCTAACAGAAATATAAATGAACAGAGTGTACAACAGTTTAATATTCATTCCGATGGAAGAGAAGATTAATATTGACTTACCTATTTGTTACTAAGTGTAGAAACAGAAATGCCAGAGTTCAAACTCCCATACCCATTTCTAGTCAAATAGACCTCCACCATGCCCATTTTCACTGTGACCTTTGATTAGCACAACTTTTTATATACAAATTCATTACTTACTGAGTAACAACATATCTGTGCCACAGTTTCCTCAACTGCAAAAGCAGGATGATACTAATATTTAGCTTGTATATAATGAGATAACACATCTAAGACATTTATCACAGAGTTTAGGACATAGAATCAATAACTACTGACTGTCATTATTGTCAATATAGAATAGTTATGAGTAAAGATTCAATAAATTTCTTTGGCATCAAATTCCAGTGCCAATAACCAGTTCTATCAGAAGTTGTTGGTTTTTTTTTTTTTGAGATGGAGTCTCACTCTGTCACCCAGGCTGGAGTGCAGTGGTGTATTCTTGGCTCACTGCAACCTCCACCTCCTAGGTTCAAGCAATTCTCCTGCCTCAACCTCCCCAGTAGCTAGGACTACAGGTGAGTGCCACCACACCCAGCTAATTTTTGTATTTTTAGAAGAGATGGGGTTTCACCATGTTGACCAGGCTGGTCTTGAACTCCAGACCTCAGGTGATTCGCCCACCTTGGCCTCCTAAAGTGCTGGGATTACAGGCATGAGCCACTGCACTCACTAAAAATAAAATTTTTATCTACAATCTAAACTCATCAGAAACATTTGCAAAATTGTTAGTCCTATCCACACCAGTCACTGCTCCTTTGCTTATTAAGATCCTTGCTCAATAAGTTATCCAATTACCCACAATTTACATTTTTTGGCACTATATTAAGTCCTCCACATTTGCAATCACCTGTATGCTACTCATCACTCAAAGATGAATGGCTGACCTATGTCATCAGGACAACAAATATTTCTTCTCTTGCACTTATTTTGTATACAATACAATTGATCTAGCTCCCAAGTCACTATGGGATGCAAATTCTATACTGAACATTCTTTAGCACAGCCATTTCTATCCTCGCTTCTTTGCCACTTTTTTCCCTACAACATGGACACCAGGTCAATATCTAAAAGAATTATAAAATATTTCTCTCTGTTAAAAGAACCTTTAGGAGATACTCCAGCACAGCCAGTGTCAAGCACTAAGGAGACAATCCAAGAGGGAATAATATCTGCCTCTCCTCCTACTATGCTTATACCACCCATCCAAGCCAGAAATAGGAGACCCAACACCACAGGCCAGTGAAGATGATGTGTCAACTCCAACTAGCTCTTTCCATGACAGTAAGGCATGTGGATTGCACTCCACAGCAGATAATATTCCAAAAAGAAGAACATGAGAAGAAACCATCATTGATTGAAGAGGCACCTGACCCTTGGCAATACCAAAGACTTTTCTAGGACTCACCTCACTGGGAATGACAGGGAACAGCAGTTCCTCAGAACTCACTGCCTGCCTCAGCAAGTACTACATAACTCATCAAATTTTCTAACAGTCAACTTGAAATGGAAGTTTGGAGGAAAATAGGAGCCCCTTCTTTCTGACGTCCTTAAATAGGACAGGCTCACCAAAAATATGACAGAAACAACATATTGAAATCTAGAATCAGGGGTATCCAAGACAGAGAATATAGTCATGGGTTCTTAATTTCTGTTTCTGGTTGGGTCCGTAAAGTGCCTTTCTCATCCCTCTTTTCCACTTGTCATTAGAGACGGAAATTAGAAACCATGGTTTCAGGCTGCTAAAAGCCTAAAGTAAAACAAATCAAAACAACAACAACAACAAAATAAGGCAGGCTGGATAAGCTTGATACATGTATTGTTTCCATTATTTGGCCAGGCTCACTTTTGCTCTTGTATTCCCTAACTCTCTGATCTTTTTGGAAGTTTGACTTTGACTCCAATAGTCACCTTTGAAGAGCTTCAGTAAGTATGCATTTCAGACACACTCCCCTGGCTGGATCCCCTGCAGTCATTCAGTCATAACCTAGTTTTCACTCACAGGTTTTAAATACTATTGATGGTAAGTAAAAGCTGTTTCTGCCTTCTTCCCACGTTAACATGCCTCAAGGAATTCTCCTCAAATTAAACAGACCTAAATTTTTATATAATTTTAATTAAAAACCAAATATATACTTTTAAAAATATTTTCTTCTGAACTTTCGAATCTCTTTATAGCCCTTTTAAAATTTTCATAAAGTAATTTAGAGCCAAACAGTTTTACAAGTCTTGTGGAGGAAAAATATTGTCTCTTTGCTAACCTATTTCTTGCCCTACTTAAGCAACTGTTTTTAACTCTTTCATAATTTTTAACTTGAAATAATATGATTTGCTTTTCAATTTTATCCATTTTTCTGTTGATTTCTAATTAATCAATAATTGTACAATTTTGAATAAGGATTTCAACATTGTAATTAGAATAAGTTTTCGGTAAGAAATTTTCAGAATCATTTTTGTTACACATAGAGTGACAGATTCTAATTTAATCATTCTCTCTTTTGTTGGATATTTATTTCTAACTTAGAGGAGAGATGGCCCTACATAAAGTAAAAATTAAAACACAATCCTGATTTAGAAATCCAGGCGGGAAGGTGACATTAACCTTCTCACAGAATGATGGTTATGCCTGGTGTGACCATGCCTTTAGGATTCTTGACAGATGAACACTTGCTTCAACAACAGGGCTCCATGGAGTTGTAAAGCCTAACAATATATTTCTAAGAACTAACACTCAGTGTGCCAGATAGCTGGGAAATGTAATTCCTGGTGTCTTGCTGGAAAACAAAAGCAAAAATAACTAAAAAGATGGCCTACTGCTGAACAATCCTTTTCCTATGATACCAATCAAAAGGCTTATGAAAATTAAGGTTTTCCACGACAGGAGGAAGGCTGTAGAAGGTGATGAGTCATTTTGTCTAAAGTCAATCCTCATCATCTAGAACAGAATAAAAGTCATCTTAACACTGCAAATCAGCTGCCCTGCCTTGACATCCAGACATGGATGTCCTACAGGGAGAAGAGATGAATGATAATGAAGATGACAAGCACTGGCATCACCACGAGTCTTGGGGAAAGGTCAGAAAAGCTAGAAGAGAAGCTGTGGCTTAAATAGCCATCACATGGCAGCTTTCAGGTTCAGTCATTTTTTATTTTTTTCTTTTCTTATGAAAAGGATCTTTTACTACTCAAGTTTTAAAGAAGTGGTCGTAATTCTAGTCATTGTTGGTATCTAGAACTATTTTTCAGTTTGCTAATTAAAAATTAAAATACACAATGCCATAAATGGTAACAGTAGTGCCACTCAACAAGGACTGTGGAAGTGCTTTCCCAGAGTGCACGCATAGGTATTTTAAGTCTCAATGCCTTTGCATATACCATTTTGTCTACGAGAGTCCTCCCTGCTCTCCTCCAACCCTCCAATCTCGTTAGCCAAGGAAATACCATTTAAGACACAGGCTCCAACAAGCCCCTCTCCCACAACTTTCCTAGGACCTAATTCTCTACTGACCAACAGGCAGAAACTGTTCTACACCTCCCTAGGGCACGCAATGATGCTGCTTCTTATGTTCCTATTCCACAACTGTCCTAGCTCACCCTTGTCCCAAGACCATTGTCCCTGTCTCCACAAGTTTTCCCACATCCCTGTGAATTTCTCTGAGACCTCTCACCTTGGTGCTGGAGATGGCTTAACTCAGAGAGAGACCTGTTCTGGAAAGCTGAGTGGGATTTTTCTGCAGCCTAGGTAAAGGTCCCACATGCTGAGCTCAGAGAACCACCAAAGCTATGCCATCCATCTCCTTTCAAGAACCACTTAGAAATGCCAGTTCAAAGACTATCCTAACAACCAAGACTACCCACATCCCAAGATATTTTAAGGGGAGGACTAAGAGAAAGAAGGCTACCCTTTTGGGTGCTTCAGGTTTTTAAAAAGAGACTATTCCCATCACCACACACCTACCCTCTCTACCGTGGTAGGAATGAAGAGTGGCTTCTTCTATTCCCCAAAGCAAAGGAAGAGGACTCCAGGAGCATCAATACTAATGTAACTTAAAATATAAAGTACAGTTTTGGCTGAGCACGTTAGCTCATGCCTGTAATCACTAACTTTGGAAGGCCAAAGCCAGCAGTTCACCTGAGGTCAGGAGTTCAAGACCACTCTGTCCAACATGGTGAAACCCTGTCTCAACTGAAAATACAAAAATTAGCTGGGCATGGTGACTCATACCTGTAATCCCAGCTACCTGGGAGGCTGAGGCAGGAGAATCACTTGAACCAGGGAGGCGGAGATTGCAATGAGCCAAGATTATACCACTGCACTCCAGTCCGGGCAACAAAGTGAGACTCCATCTCAAAAAAAAAAAAAATAAAAAATAAAAAAAAAAAAAAATATATATATATATATATATATATATATATGGATAGATAGATAGATATAAAACATACAATTTTATTTTCCTAATTTAGGCTCTTCTATAAAAAAACACCCAAGAGAAGAGCTCAAATGCAAAATTAATTTATTAGGAGGTACAAGAAATATTAGTAAGGAAGAGGAGAAATGAGAAAGGGAAGGGTGGGCAACTGGAGGTTAATGTCTTTGGAGAAATTCAGAGTCAGTGTAAACTACAAATCTGAACGTGTTCCCTTATGTGCAAGAGAGCTGGAGCATGTATACATCAACTCCAGTGAGTAATATGTTGAAGATTGCCTACAGAGAAGGGTGTTAGTATGCCAGCACTCCAAGCTTACTTCAGGTAACATAGTGATGACAAACTGGACAATGCTAGCAAGAGAGAAGGCTCTCAGACGAAGACATACAGGTGCTGAAAGTTACAAGATGGGCCTGGTTGCGCTAAAGTGGCAAAGACAAGGATATCAATGGAGCACTAAAAGCATCTGCTATATTTATTATCATTTTGCCAGTAAATGGTAGCTGTACATCACACTTTATATTGCATATTATCTACTGTATATAGAACATCAGTTTAAGTACAAGGTTAACACATACAAACACAGTGTGATTCTGGATAATCCCTTTTGGTCTCAGTTACAATGTACATATTATTAATTTTTAAAATTGCCTCACCAGATATTTTCAAGAGAGAGAAAAGAAAGACTACATGGTGTGAAGCATGTAGGGTGGCGGGTTGACTGGAGTCCCACTAAGGGTGTTATCCAGTAACTGAGCAGGAGTTCAATTTTTCTATATTCTAGAAGTGCTTTAACTGTACGAATTTAAAACTTTTAATTCTCAATATCCGTTGACTTATTTTATTTGACTTCGTCTTTCATATGGAATGACATTTCAATGAGAGAGGAAACTGCTTCGTATATTCATGAATTTTTCAAAGATTCACAGCCAGTGACAGTTTGACCTAACATTCAGTCCTCTTCTCAACTCAGTATTCTTTCCATTTATGAATCTCCTAAGTTCCTCCTTGACTTTCAGTTCTTAAAATTAACCAGAGCCCCTGGATATCAGCACAATACTAACACCAAAGTATTGCTATTGCTTTGAAGACAATGTTTATTTTCTTGTCAAACTGATGTTCATTTGATGATATCTCTACAGAAACAAGAACGCATACAATGTCAGACACACACGAATAAAGTGGAGGATCTATATTTTTAAGTGCATGGTCTTTTAAATTTCGTCAAAATATTCAGTACCAAAAAGATACATTACATTTTTAGAATAGGCTTTAGAGTTTCCTATGGTAATATAAAGGGTAGTAAGTTCTTTTTATTTCCTGTGCTGTCAGATATCCCAATAATGGGAAAAAAATGTTGTAATGAAACTAGTGGAAAAATACTGTCTGTACTGAGAGCCATACAATAAGAATGATTGCATTAGGTAGGCTTCATCTAATAAAATATATTGCTGTATTCCTGAAAGGGGAAATTTGGAGATGTGGGAAATGGGAGAAAGGCCCAGAGCACAATATAGTCAATAAAAGCTTTCCCTATAAGAAGGAGTATTATTTTTCTCCTTTTGTAGAGAGCTGGCACACATATTTTTAAATGAATGGTTACTTTAATTGGTTTTTGACATTTTGGAGTTTCTCACCTTAGAAGTACCAAAGGTTCACACTGGTTTTCTGCTTATAAACAATATATTTCATTTGGCCCTCCATTTAGACTAATACAATGATGATTAATGGTTGTTTAGTAAGTGTATTAGTCAAGTGGAGCTGCATAGCAGAATACCATAAACCAGGAGGCTTAGGTTTAAACAACAGAAATTTATTTCACACAGTTCTGAAGACTGAGAAGTTCAATATCAAGGTGCTGACTGATTCAGCTCCCCAGTGAGGGCTTTCTCTTCCTAATTCCCAGTTGGATGCCTTCTCACTGTGTCCTCACATGGCAGAGGGAGAGACAGAGGGAGAGAGAGGAGAGAGACAAAGAGAAAGAGAGAGAGAGAGAGAGAGCATTCTATTCTCTTCTTTTTCTTATAAATACACTAATCCCATTATGGCTATCCAACCTGTATTAGTCTGTTCACATGCTGCTAATAAAGACATAACTGAGACTGGATAATTTATAAAGGAAAGAGGTTTAATGACTCAAGGTTCAGCATGGCTGGGGAGGCCTCCAGAAGCTTACAATCATGGTGGAAGGGGAAGCAAACACATCTTTCTTCACATGGCAGCAGCAAGGAAAAGTGCAGCGTGAATCGGGGCAAAGCCTCTTATAAAACCATCAGATCTTATGAGAACTTACTATCATGAGAACAGCAGCATAGGGGGAACCAACCCCATGATTCACTTGCCTTCCACCAGGTCCCTCCCATAACACATGGTGATTATAGGGACTACTATTCAAGATGAGATTTGGGTGAGGAAGTTCTCCTGGATAACATCCTGTCATGTGTTTTCCAAGATGGTTCCATTCTCCTCATCACTTTCAGATATACCAATCAATCGTACATTTAGTCTTTTCACATAGTCCCATATTTCTTGGAGGCTTTGTTCAGTCCTTTTCATTCTTTTTCTCTAATCTTGTCTTCATGCCTTATTTCAGTAAGTTGATCTTCAGTCTCTCATATCCTTTCTTCCACTTGATTGACTCAACTATTGATACTTGTGTATGCATCATGAATGCTGTGTTTTTTAGCTCCATCAGGTCATTTATGTTACTCTCCAAACTAGTTATTCTAGTAAGAATTTTTTGTAACCTTTTATTAAGGTTCTTATCTTCATTGCATTGGGTTAGACCATGCTCCTTTAGCTCAGAAGAGTCTGTTATTACCTCCCTTCTGAAACCCACTTCTGTCAATTCCTCAATCTCATTCTCTGTTTAGCTTTGTGCCCCTGCTGGAGAGGAGCTGTGATCATTTGGAGAAGACGCATTCTGGTTTTGGGGAATTTTCCGTATTTTTTGTGCTGGTTTTTCCTCATCTTTGTAGATTTATCTACTTTTGATCTTTGAGGCCAATGATCTTTGGATGGGGTTTTTGTGTGAGGGTCCTTTTTCTTGGTGGTGTTGTTTGTTGCTTTCCGATTGTTAGTTTTCCTTCTAACAGTCAGGTCCCCCTCTTCTGCAGGTCTGCTGCAGTTTGCTGGAAGTCCACTCCAGATTCTCTTCACCTGGGTATCACCAGTGCAATACTGCAAAATGCCAATATTGCTGCCTGCTTCTTCTTCTGGAAGTTTCATCCCAGAGGGGCACCAGCCTGATGCCAGCCAGCACTATCTTGTATGAGGTGTCTGTTGACCCCTGTTGGGAGTTCTCTCCCAGTCAGGAGGCACGGAGGTCAGGCACCAACTTCAAGAGGCAGTCTGTCCCTTAGCAGAGCTTGAGCCCTGTGCTGGGAGATTCACCCTTGTCAGGATCAGCTGCTGTTTTCAGAGCTGGCAGGCAGGAAAGATTAAATCCACTTGAGCTGTACCCACAGCTGCCCCTTCCCCCAGGTGCTCCATCCCAGGGAGATGAGAGCTTTATCTGTAAGCCTTTGACTGAGGCAGCTGCCTTTCCTTCAGAGATGCCCTGCCCAGTGAGGAGGAATCTAGAGAAGCAGTCTGGACACAGCCATTTTGCCACACTGTGGTGAATTCTGCCCAGTCCAAACCTCCCAG